GCCAGAGATCTCCCCCGTGCCCAAGAGCTGCCCCCTTCCCTGTTCCTGGCAGCCCCTAATCTGTTCTCCATCTCTATCACATTTTGTCACCAAAGGACACTATGAAAATACTAATTGGCCAAATAAACTTACTGAAGCAGTGAGCCCTCTGGCCTCCTGCCCACTGAGCACGCCCTTGTTCGACTCGGAGGGCCTGGAAGCCCCACTGATTTCTTGGAATTCCTAGCTGGGCTACCTGAGCAAGAACTAACGCGTCCAAGAGAAAGAAAGCAGGCATTGAAGATCACCGTGCCTGGTCGCTGGGTCACTGGCGCCTCTCCCCGCCCAGCATGTGACATCAGCTCTCACAGGGCCCCTTCGAATTCCGGCCTTAGCCTTGCTGGTGGTTTAATTGCCCTGCAAATGGCTGCCCCTTGGCCAGCCTTCCAGGGTGGGGAAGGACGTGTGTGAAGTGTGGCTGCACCAGGCTCGGGAGACATTGCCGACCCTGTGTTTAGCTTGTCGGGGACCTGTCAGATTTCTGGGTGGGAGCAGGCAACCCCACTTACTTGCCTGCTTTCCAATTATTTCTCTAGCCATTGACGAGTACAAGCCACAGGATGCCACCACCAACCCGTCCCTGATCCTGGCTGCAGCGCAGATGCCCACCTACCAGGAGCTGGTGGAGGAGGCTATCGCCTATGGCAAGAAGCTGGGCGGGTGAGTGCCCCGGGCTGCCCCAGTGCAGCTGGGGGCTGGGGGCCTACGCAGGCCCCAGGCTTGTCCATGCGTCTCCCTCCTAACTGAATTGTAATTCTCAGATGTCTTACACTCCAGGAAAGAAAGCTGTCTTTTTTTTTTTATCAGCTTACTGAAGTGTTATTTACACGTGGTAAGCTGTACCCATTGTGAGTATGCAGTTCAGCGAGGCTTGTTTGCAGGAACGGTGCACCCTGTAAACACCACCCCAGTCGAGATGTAGAAGGTCTACAGCACCCCAGAATCCCTCCTCTTCCGTAGTCTGTCTCCCCAGCCCTGGCAGCCACTGACCTGCGTTCTACCATTTGGTGCCCTTTATTTTTTACTTTTTAATTTTTTTAAAAGATTTGATTGGGGGAAGGGGAACAGTGTTGGGGAATTGGGGAAGGGGAATAGCCAAGTTGTTGTCCTTCAGTCTTAGTTGTGGAGGGC